CAGACCTGAAGGGCAACTAGGGACCATAGTCTCAGTGGTTCCACAAGGCTCTATCAGACCAGCAAACCTGGTCCCACCCCCCTTTTTTTTTTCCAAATGCTTTTGAGTTTTGTTCCACATTGTTCTCCCTCTCTATCTAGCATCTCCTACATAGATCCTCCTCTGAGTGGTTGACAGTGGTAGCCAGGCACCATCTAGTTCTTGTCTCATAGTCATATAGGCTGAGGATCGCATGGTGTATCAGTCACTTGGCCTAATTGTTTCCATGAATCTTTGGCTTTCTTCATTCTTCTTTGCTCTGGAGGAGGAGAGACCCATCGTTGCATCTTGATGGCTGCTTGCAAGCTTTTAAGATCCCATGAGTAGTGACTGGGAACAATGTTTTGTGTAGTATGTTGTGCCAATTGAGCTTGATGTCCCCTGCGACTAAGGTCCTGAGCCCACAGGTCCAACTACTCACTCCCTCTGGGTAGCTGGCTGTGGCCAAGAAGTGACTACAACCTTGTCCCTTGTGAGCTCTACTATATACCTGGGAATTCTTACAGAACATAGCAATACACTTGCCAACCATATACATGGTCTTGGGCACACTCCCTACTACTTAGACATACCTAATAGCTCATCCTGTCCACCCATCTATCCACCCTCATATCCGTGTTTGCCTTCACTGACAACGCAGTACTTATGTGTAAAAGGTTTCATCCCTGTTGTCTTCCACCTCCCATGTACCTCTCTCTCTGTCTTCTCTTCCTCAATGCCACCATCTTGATCACTCACATTTGGTGCATTGCCCTTCTTTTCACCCAAATCAGTACTTGTCTCAACCTATCTAACAGTGTTCCCTCCCCTCCCCTCCTAACCAACAAAGAAAATGTCCTTCCGTGTAGAAACTTTTCCTTGAATTTTTGCAATAATGGACAATGCAATATTTATCCTTCTGTGATTGACTTATTTCACTCAGCATAACATCCTCCAGGTTCATCCCTGTTATGCAGTGTTTTGCAGATTCTACATTATTCTTTAGGGTTGCATAGTATTCCACTGAATTGACACACTTTTAAAACACCAAAATGATTTTAGTCTCATGGTTTTAATAGTGTTCCCCACCTCAGGGCTGTTTAAGAACTAATATATTTTATGATAAAGAAACATCTAAACTTTAACAGCTCCTTCACTTTCACGTCACTTTTGTCTTTTAAATTCAATACGGTTACATTAGCACATTACACATATAACATGGAATGACCCCATTTTTAAAAAACTAAGTATTTTCTCATCTATATTTATGTAAGGAAATGTCTGGACTCTACATGGTGGGCTTTTGGGTGAGCTTTTTCTTTTGTACTTTTCTGTGTGGCTGGTTTTAAATGAGCAGGATTGTTTATACCAGGGTCCCTGGTGGTGCAGACAGTCCATACATTCGGCTGCTAACTCCAACTTGAACTTGGAGGTTTGGGTTCACCCAGCGGCCCCTCAGAAGAAAGGCCTTGCAATCAGTCGGCTATTGACAGTCTGAGGAGCACATTCTGCTCTGGCACACAGGGCACCACCAGTCGAAAGTGACTTACTTGATGGATACTTTCTGTCACTTACAAAGTCCCTTCTCAGGGCATCATTGTCCTTAGGATTCAGCCTCTTAGGCAGCAAGCTGGAGAGAGGGGGTGCGAAGTGCTGATGTTTCTCCCTCCTTCTCTGTCTCTGGAGGGTGTCCTGTTCCCCTGCTGTTTTTCCTTCCTGCCTACATCCTTGGGTTTCTCCATAGACTTTATCACGGTCACAAAGAGGCAGCGGCAGGTCACTGAGTTGCCATCAGCCAGAAACTGGACACTGTTTGAGGAGCAGTCATGTCCATGCCCCTCAAATGCTGACCTTGTATTGGGTCTTTCTTGGTTCCAAAGTGTTTGCCCTTTAACCTGGAGCCTCAGAAATATGTGGGGCCGGCAGCCTGGGTGTGCTCCACACCCCGCACCACCAACCCTCTGATTGGGAACAACAGCCGCATCTGGTTTCAACTCCTGATTCTTTGCAGGATGTCACCCCGGAAAACTTCCTTGCTGTGTTGCGAGGCGATGCGGAAGCGGTGAAGGGCAAAGGCTCTGGAAAGGTCTTGAAGAGGTAAGGTCTGGCTTAGGAGGATCCCACTCTTCCCGGTGACTGGAACCTGGAATAGAGCCTTTAAATAGCCCTTGTTACTTGCTCGTGGCCTGTTAGCCTATGAGAATACGGCGTGGGGAGCTGTGTTCTGACCTCAGATAGACTGCACAGGGCCGGTATTTCACTGGCTCCTCTAGGCAGCCCTGTCTGTCCTGAGTTCCCCTGTGACTAGGGTTATTCCTAAGGGAGCATTCCATAGCATTTACACCGCTGCGGGTTGTGGTCTGTGGGTCCTAGTGCTGGTATGTTCCCTGAGACAGGTGTGAGTCCCCCTGGGCCGGCCAGGTTGTGGGATGTCAGCCCGCCGTCAGCCTGGATGACAGTTCAGCCCCATGGGGAGAGCAGACTCGTATGTGCAGCAGGGACCCCCATACTGGTGGAGACTAGCCCCACTGCCTGCCCTCGCTGCCCCTCTGGCTGTGGGCTAGCACTGTCTGGTCGTGTGGCCTTTCTTTCTGTTGTGTTTTTATGTCATGTCAGCAGGCCTTCGGAGGGTCTCAGATACCTGGCAAGTGGTGGAATTTCTTGTTGTTGGGTTTTTTTCCCTCCATGCCTTATGAAGCTTTGTTTGCTTCTTTTAATTTTTCTCCTGCTCTGTTTCCTGGTGCCGCTCTGACAGGAATGTACCACAGATGGGATGCCTTAACAAACAGGAGTTTATTCTCTTACAATTCAGGAGGCTAGAAGTCCAAGTTCCAAGTGCCAGGCTCTAAGGGGCTGGGTGAAAGCCCCTTGACCTTGGGCTTCAGCTCTGCCTCTTGCTCCCTGGCCACTGAAGCTAGAGGCATCTCTTCACTCATGGAGCTACTCTGCTGCTGAGGCTGGAAAGCCCAGCGTTGACAAATAAAATGGCACAGTCCTGATGTTACCAAGCCACTCAGCAGGCCATTAATTCAAGTCCATTGTAAGTCCCCAGGTCAACAGAGCATGGCAGGCTGCTGAACAGTGACACGGCTACATGTGGGTTCAAGCATGCCATAAGCTAGGGACCATTCCCCAAGGCTTCTCCTTACATGCAGGAAGTAGACCACATCCCTAGGGCAGCTACTCGGCTGCTCACAGTAGATTCCACCATGGAATTGATTCCCAGTCTCATCATGGGGAATACTCCATCCAGCTGCCCAGCCACTCAGCCAGGGCCAGCCAAGTTGACACATAAAGTTAACCACCATACTTCTTTAAGACTTAGAAAAACCACAACGCAGTTTCCTAAGGTGGTATTTCTTTTATGTCACAGGGGAGACCTGGGTAAGCTAAGCTCATTTAGTTAGAACAGAGACAGACAGCTGTGACTGGGCCCAAGTTGATGCATCTCTGCAGCCCTGGAACAGCCCCTGTGGAGGGACGCCCTGGCAGGAGCGAGGGCAGGCAGGTGGGCGTCCCAGGGGGTCTCGGGAAGGCAGGACTGCAGGACTGTGCCTGGCCATATGTTTGGGCTCCCCATGTTCAATCTGGGGCACTTGGATGGAGTGTGTCTGCCTGGAATGGGGTCCAGTTGTCACTGGACCTCACTGTCCACATCACACATGGTCCATCAGATGAGCTTCCTTCCCAGGCCATGATTCTAGAGACTCAAGGCTCCAGAATGTTCCCTGTGGCTCCGAATGGCACTCAGTGAGAGCAGCAGGCCCCTGGGTGGTGGTTCTGACGTGGCTGGGGGACCGTCACCCTCGAACTTCCTCATCTCAGGTTTTGATAGGGGCAGGTACCTTCTGGGCCTCTGACTCATTCCTGGTGGGCACCATCTGGGATGCAGAACAAGGATGAACGCAGAGCCCCCCAGGCTCCGCCCCTCACCAATGCCGTCACGGCCCTGCTCACCCTCCCCACCCGTCCTTCCAGCACCTTCCACTTTTGCCTTTGGAGCCATCTCTGCTGCCAGAGGCTGCAGAAAGTACTACCACACCAAGCAAAGGGCCCAAATGTGTTCATCACTAAGAAGGAGGTCCAGGAACAGTGCAGAGAGCAGCCTCAGAGGAGGCCGCTCACCGGGGCCTTGTTTTCTCTTGGCAGTGGCCCGCGGGATCATGTGTTCGTGTACTTCACCGACCACGGGGCTCCTGGGTTATTGGCTTTTCCTAATGATGACGTGAGTATTTGTTACTGTGGGAAAGGTGGCTCAGAACGAGGCCTGTGTGTTGAGATGGCAGCAGGATGCTTGCTTTTCTCATGTCCCACCAGGATTGGTCTGTAGGTGGGACAGGTGGGGCTGGGGGACAAGCTTCACGTGGTGTTGCTGAAAACGTGACAGCAAACCACACACCGATGCAGCAGTTTCTGCACGAGGAATTCACTGCCCCGATCGTGCCCTCTGACTTGTGTGACCGTTGCCACCCTCCTTCTCCAATTTGCTCCTCCTTCGTCGGCGTGCCCGCGCCTCCCCTGAGGGTCCTGTCTGATCTTCCAGTTGGTGCTGTCACTTTGAGCCCATGTAGATCATTCTCTAAGAGAGCACATTGCCCAAGGCCGACAGTCTCAGCTCTTGCTGGTCTGAAGGCAACGGCAGCATCCCTGCTGTTCTTCCTGCATCACACTGTCGCCCCCATCTCAGGACGTGGGTCTGTCACAAGGGACACAGTAACAGAGCACAGTTTCTTGCTGCCCGAGACAAAGTGATGAGAACAGGAAGCACACCATGTTCTTCCTTGTAAATATGCAAATATAACACGTTGGTTGCCATTCTGGGCTTTGGCCGTGCAGCACGGTTCTTTCTAAGGGTGGGTAAGTGAGAATTGATGCATCACCAGGGCTGAGCGGCTTGCGCAGCAGGGGTGAGGCATTAGTCCGCATTTCAGTGTTCTTACCTTTCAGCTTTACGTGAAGAACCTGAGTAAGACCATCCGTTACATGTATAAGCACAAGATGTACCAGAAGGTAACGTCAGTCCGTGGGGCAGCCTTAGGGGAAGAGGTTGAGGGAGGCAGAGGAAGGCAGACCCACAGCTCTGGGACTGGCCCTCTAACGACAGTGGAAAAGGTGTCCAGTAGGTCAAGCTTGACCTCTGGTTTCCCAGGACTGACCTTTTGTCATTCCAGGGCATCGTAATCACTGGTGGGTGGCCTAGTTAAAACCCCGATTGCTGGGCCCTAGCCCAAGTGGGACTCTGCGTCTGGGGTAGGGCCTGAGTCTGGGTACACAGCATCAGGTGTTCTGAGCATCTGGAGAGGAAAGTACTACCACCTTGTCTTGCCCTTGGCCTCTCTTGCCCTGCATTGGCCTGTGGAGGGCTGTGTCGTACTCACGCAGGGCATGTCTGTGAGACCAGTATGGAGAGGCAACCGCCTGACGGTTTTGCTCTTTGAAGCCGCTCCCTGAGGTGGAGAGTGAAGCCGTGGGCCTCAGCCTCCTCTGGGGCTGCTCTCTGCACTGTTCTGGGACCTCCTTCTTAGTGATGAACACATTTGGGCCCTTTGCTTGGTGTGGTAGTACTTCCTGCGGCCTCTGGCAGCAGAGATGGCTCCAAAAGCAAAAGTGGAACGTGCTGGAAGGACGGGTGGGGAGGGTGAGCAGGGCCGTGACGGCATTGGTGACGGGTGGAGCCTGGGGGGCTCCGCGTTCATCCTTGTTCTGCATCCCAGATGGTGTTCTACATTGAAGCCTGTGAGTCTGGGTCCATGATGAGACACCTGCCTGATGACATCAACGGTAGGTGGTGGTGGGAGGGCTCAGCTGTACCCTCGTCACCCTCAGACACTGCCAGGGTGGTACCAGGTGCTCTCTGTAAGCAGGGCCTAGGGCCACCTACTGCCTGGAAGTGCTGGACTCCCTCTACTGCCCTAGGGTGGTTGTTGCTATTGGCCGTTGAGTTGATGCTGACTCACAGCAAGTCTGTGGGATGCGGTAGAGCTGCCCCATAGGGTTTCCAGGCTGGAAGTCCACAGAGGCAGGCTGCGTCCTCTTTCTCCCGTGCAGCAGCGGGTGAGTCTGAATCACTGGCTTTCCAGTTAGCAGCCAAAGGGCTCCTTTCCTGGAGGATCTGTGGTCAGGGAAGTCGAGACTCTGCATGTGAGCTTCACGGTGCTCTTCCAGGGTCCTGTGAAGGTGTTCATGCCCAGAATCTGGATGTGGGTTGAAGGAGTGGTCCTAGCGGCTTTGGAGCAGCCTCTGCCCTCTGCTTTGTATCACTTGCTGGCTCTCTGACCTTGGGCAGCTCACTTAATGTCTTTGTCTCTCAATTATCCCCATCTGTCTGTTGGAAGAGCTCCATTTTAAATGATACAGCGTTCTCCAGCACAGTACTGAGTCCATTGTGGGTAGGTCCTAAATGGTCCCATTGGTTCAGTCCATCTGGGCATGTCTTCAGTAAACATTAGTGTTCTCTGCAGATTAAGGTCCTTGTTCTTCACCTTTCTGGAGCTACGAGTCTTTGAGCGTCAGTCCAGCACACCTTGTCCTAAGCATGAGTGCTTGCTGCAGAAGGAGTTCATTGGCTGGTTTCTTTCCTCACATCAACTTCAACCAGTTAACCTAGTAGCTGTTGAGTCAGCCCCAACTCCTGGTGGCCCCTGTGTGTCCGAGAACCGTGCTCCACAGCCTCCCAGTGACAGACCTTTTAGAAGATCACCAGGCCCTTCTTCTGAGGCACCAGCCTTGCGGTTAGCAGCCAGGGGCAATAACCGTTTGCACCCCCAGGGACTCCCATGTTAACTCTAGGAGGGTTCTTGTCAGGTGACTTCCCAGGTGCTATCTATAGTGGTTTGTTTCACTTTGACTTGGGGAGAGGGAAGGACTCATGTTTCAAGTGTGAGCCACAGCGGGGAGTAAAATGTAACATATGATCATAAGGTGTTCTCACTTCCTCCTAGTTTATGCAACTACTGCTGCCAACCCCAGAGAGTCATCCTATGCCTGCTACTATGATGAGGAGAGGGGCACGTACCTGGGGGACTGGTACAGCGTCAACTGGATGGAAGACTCGGACGTGGTGAGCCCTTGGGGTGGGTGGCCGCATGGCTGGAAGGTTCAGACATGGTGAACCCTTGGGGTGGGTGGCCGTGTGGCTGGAAGGTTCAGACGTGGTGAGCCCTTGGGTGGGTGGCTGTGTAGCTGAGGCTCAGCCGTCAGGCCATGAGTGTCAGAGGACTTCATGTTTCCATTTTACAGGAGGACTTGACGAAGGAGACCCTCCACAAGCAGTACGAGCTGGTCAAGGCCCACACCAACACCAGCCACGTCATGCAGTATGGAAACAAAGTGTGTGAGGGTCTCATGCTACTGCTGCTGTTGCTTGCTCGGGTTCCAGGCAGACTTGCCTGGAACGTTTCTCTCTTGGTGAAAGGGTTGGGGGGATCCAATGAGCAATGGCCAGGGCAGTGCCTGCCTCTCACGTCTTTAGCCACGCCAACCCAAAGACCCTGCCTGGGCTTCAGAACCAGCCCTGAGTAGCTTTGAACTTACTGAGCGGTGAGACTTTGGGCTTATTAGCCTCTCTGAGTCTGTTTCCTCATTGGTCAAAACCCTAGCGTACGAGGTCACTGAAACATTAGAGAAAATCATGCATTTTAAACACTGAACAGAAGGCAGGCCTGGCAGACAGTAAACGGTTACTCAGGCAACAGCTGCTCCCTCAAACACAAGTTCAAGGTGTTGTCCTAGGACCCACCTCCTTGGCTTCTCCAGGGCCCTACCCACTGCAAACTGGAGTCTGTCACCTTTACATTTGGCCCATAAATTAGAGGCTATGTCCAGAGGGGACCCAGGTAGTTAGACAAGTTCATCAGGACTGGACAGAGGTCACAGTGGGTAGCTGCTGGAGGCTTGGGCCTTAGGTGACACCACTGGGGTAGCCCTTGGTATACTAAGGAGGGCGACTTGGGCAGGGCCTCCCCAAGCAGCCTGCCACCACCTGAGACCATCCATGCAGAGCCCTGTTCTGTTGGTCTTCTAGAAGAACTCAGGAGCCTGTCAACTCAGCCATCCCAGCTGTCACCAGTAGTATGTGGGTTGAACTAAGGCCGCCATAGGACATAAGAAAGAGCCTTGGGCCTGGTCAGGCTTTGGAGTAGGAGTTGGGTGGAGGTGGAAGCAAAGGCAGGCCCGAGAAAGGCGACTTGGAGGCAGTAGGGCCAGAGGTGGCCATCCAGGTGCTGTGCAGACTGCCGGGGGTTAGACTGGGGAGAGGGCACCGGGCCACCCTTCTTTTGCCTTGGGCTTTCCATTCTCATTACAGTGTCCCTGGCATGTCTCACCTTGGCTGAGACGTGGTGGGTCCTTCCCCTAGGCTCTGATGTAGGCGGTGTACGTATGGATCTTTGGAGTCCCCAGGGAGGCGGGAAAGG